ATCCCTGATGGCGATGGTGATGAGAATATTTTGTAACTCATTTTTTTTCTCTTCTGGGAGATTACAGCAGAAGCCAAAAAGAGGCCCTCAAATTTCAAATACTGTGAGATAAGCCCAGACCAAGAGAATACACAAGAGAAGAGCCAGAGGCAGGTCATGGTCACAGAAGGTAGCAAGCATCCCTGACCAGAGGGAGAGAGATGACTGTTCAGGGGCCTTGTATCTCTGAGCCAGGGGCCACATGTCTCATCTGGGAGAGGAAGAACTCAAGAATTGCAGGATTTGTGTTTCTTTCCAGGGAGAACTCCTAATAGAAACAGCCAACATTGATTGAGAATTTACTGTACGCCTGGTGCCGGGCAAAGGACTTCACATGCATCATCTCATTAAATATTCATAAAGGTAGATAGTGTTGTCACCACGTTTTATAGGTGAGGAAACTGAGGCTCAGAGAGGTGAAGCAACTTGCCTCAGGTCACACAGTCAGAAAGGGGCAGAAGGGGTCCCGAATCCCAGAAGTTGGGCTCCAGATCTGGGGCTCTCGCATTCCAGGCTATGCTGGTGCCCAGGAGGTGACAGGGTCCAGAGGAAAGTGACTGCCAATGGGTCTGACCTTGTGGCAGGCTCCACCGGCACAGGGTGACCTGGCAGTAACCCAAAGACCAAAGGGCATGAAGGGGGCACTCAACCCAAGGGTACCCAGGAGATGGCACAACAAACCTCTGCTTGGACCCCAACAGAGACCAGGCAGGATTGGGGAGCCCCGAGAATACCAGCAGGGACAAGTGACACTCCCTGCCCCAAGGTTACCTGCCACCCTTGGACTGACTTGACAAGGATTGAGCTTCCCCCACCCAGTGGTGCAGAGCTCCAAATAGAGACGATGTTGAATGGAGTAAAAGCCTACTGAGCTACTGTATCCTTGCCCAGGTGAGCTACCCCACGTCTTCATATGTTGTAGCCGGGCAGCAGGCTGTGAGTGGTGCTTGAGTGGTCTCACTGGTCCTCCCAGCCACCCCTTAACATACCGTTCTTCTCTCCACTTTGCAGAAGGGAAAACTGAGCCTTGCTTATCAACAGCCACGTGGCAAGTAAGTGCTGGGGCCGGGATGTGAACTCAGGTCCACCTGATTCCCACATCAGTACTCTTTAGCCCCATGGTGTTCCATGGTGACCCCTGCCTGGGATTATCAGGATACGTGGACAGATACCTGGAGAGGACACTCCACTGCCAGATAAAGGGGCGAGTGACCGCCTAACCTGAAAACCGTTGGTTTAAATCCATCATTTGGCTCAGCCAATGTCATCCAAGCACTAGACACCCAGGGGAGTCAAAGATGGATGAGAGGGTGAGACCTGGGGGAGAAAAAGCAGGTGGGAGGTGAGAGAAGTGTCCACAGGAGAGGTGACAAGGCCTGAGCCAGGGCAGTGGCCAGGAAGACAGGAGGATGGCCTGAGAAGCTGAGGCAACAGGATGGATGGGACCTGCTGCCTGGGGGTGAGTTGGGGGTGAAGGACTCCCCAGGGCCATAGATGACCTACTGGCTGGGTGGTAATGTCTTCAACAGGACAGGTGGGCAGGGGAGGGAAGAGCTGAGTTTCAGGCAGCTTTGGAGTTGAGATACTGTGAGACCTCGGAGAGGAGATCAGGAGCCCATCAGATGTTGGTTTGGTGTCACTGGGGGGCAGGTTGGAGACGGTGCTGCTGGAAGTGACAGGGGCAGCCCTGTGGATTGTGCCACGAAGTGTGAGAGGAAGCAAAGAATGGAGACTGTGTCCTAGGAAACACCAACATTTCAGGGTGGGGAAAGGAGCAGGAGTGGCCTAAGAGATTGGAGGACCGTTGTGCATCCATGCTTTCATGCATTCAACAGACATGTATTGAGCACCTACTATGTGCCAGGCACTGTTCTAGGCCCTGGGAACCCAGTAGTGAACAAAACAGACATGGCTCCTCCCTTCTTGGGGCTCACAGACCAAAAGGAATGCTTTTAAGAACAGGTGGTGGTAGGTGTTAAGGGAGAAAACCAAAGCTGAGTAAAGGGATAGAGAGTGGCAGAAGGATTGTGGCTATTTTAAATGGGGGGGACAGGCAGCGCCTTTCTGAGGAGGTGACATTTAAGCACTAGACCTGAAGTGGGTCAGGAGTGAGCCACAGAAGTGTCTGGGTGAGGGGTGTTCCAGGCTGTAAGGATTTTTGTTCAATAAGAGAATAACTAAAGAGAATGGGAGTCCCAGGAGGGTTTTGAGGAGAGGATCTAGCTTAGGTTTTAACGGGACCCCTCTGTCTGCTGAGTGCAGAATGAACTATGGGGGTCAGGGTGGAAATGGAGCCCAGGGCAGCGGCCATGACGACCATACAGGTAGGAGATGGAGGTGGCTGGTCCTGGGTGGAGGTACGGAAAGTAGTCGGAGTAGCAGCTGAGGACTGGCTGATGGAGACTCTTTCTAGAAGGATGATATTGGTCAGCAATATATTAAATTTGCCAAGAAGTCAAGTAAGATGAAGACTGAGCCGTGGCCATCGGAAGTGGGAAGTGGGAGGCTGCTTAGGGAAAGGAGAGAGTGGAGGAGGAAGTGGAGGCAGAGCTTGTGGATTTCTGAGAGACAGGCCAGACGTCAGAGGGTGTGGGGGTTGGAGAAGGGGCTTGTTCTCCTTCCTCCTCATTCTCTACGTTCTCTTTCTTTTTTAACATGGGAGATACTTGGATGCAATTAAAGACTGAGGGGAAGGAACAGCAGAGAGGGAGGTGTCGTTAGAGACACAGGAGGGCATGGTTGGTTTGAGGAGGTTGAGGGGCTGCAAGGGATGGAACCTGCAGGTAGGGAAGAGTGGCCTTGGCTCATGGAAGAACACTTCCCTCTGAGCCAGAGAAAGGCCCTGGGGACTGGTGGGTGCACGGGTGAATCTGCAAGTGTGGGGCAGGCCCCATTTCTCTTTGAAGTAGGAGGTCCGTGGTCTGGTGAGATGATGGACAGGGGGTGAAGATGGAGGCCTGAGGAGGAGGTGAGGTTTGGCACGACACTTATGGGACTGGAAACAGCTGCCTGAAGAGACACACACAGATTTCAAGGCAGCATGGAGCCCCCTGGGTTGGGCTCTGGTGTATGAGGCCAAGAGCTCCCTTGAAGGGGAATCCAGGGGTGGGATGGTGGCAGCTGGAAGTGCTGCAGGGCAGGAGGGGTGGAGGGCAAAAAGGCAGGGACTATGGGAAGATGGTGAGTGGGGGGCTAGGGAGATAGATGGCCAGGGCAGGAATGAAACAGGAGGTTAAGTGTGTATTTGAGTGTGTGCATAAATCAGCTTGACTAGATACATATAGAGCAACCTCTCCACCTGGGGGATGGACCAACCCAGGGTATGCAGAAGGCAATCCTTTGGAAAACAGGAGGAAACCACCAGAACTTCAGTTTACATGATGTCATATCTTATCTTCTTCTTTTTTCTTTTTTTTTGCAGTACGCGGGCCTCTCACTGTTGTGGCCTCTCCCGTTGAGGAGCACAGGCTCCGGACGCGCAGGCCCAGTGGCCATGGCCCACGGGCCCAGCCGCTCTGCGGCATGTGGGATCCTCCCGGACCGGGGCACGAACCCGCGTCCCCTGCATCGGCAGGCGGACTCTCAACCACTGCGCCACCAGGGAAGCCCCATATCTTATCTTCTTAAAGTTCCATTTTCATTTGTCTCATACCCTGTACATATTATATTAATATGGGTGCACGTTCGTAAATTCTAAATAAATATGCGTGTACTCTGGGAGCGAAGCATTGTTTGCTGATCGGGCAAATGATCTGAAAGATTTGGAAACCACGGGTACGGAGGGACTGCTCCCCATCTTGGACACCACAGGATGCCTTTTCCGCCCCCACCCCACCCAGGGCCAAACCTGCCTCGTTCACCTCTGTACTTCAGTGTCTTGCCTAGGGCCTGGCACATGGAGGGTGCTCAGAGTGTCTGCTGAAAGTATGAGGACAGGAGACCCTAGAGTGGCCCTGGCCTTGGGCCAAAATGGCAGTGGGGTCCTCAACTCCTTGATCTCTGCCACGCCATATTCAATTCATCAGCAGAGCCCATTCACGCCCTCTTCAGAATATACTAGAACCTGACGGCCACACCCCCTCCCCCAGCTCTGTTCTGCTCCACACCTCCATCACTTCTTGCCTGGTGGCTGCAGTGGTCTCTTCTTTGGGCTCCCAGCATCGAATCTTCTCCTACAGTCTATTCTGTTAAGACTAAATCAGGTGTTTCTCACCTGCTCAAAACCCTGCAATGGCTCCCGTGATGCTCAGAGAAAGAGCCAAAATCCTTCCCAGTGGACTCCAAGGCCCAACATGGTCTTCCCTCCCCTCATCTCTCGGATTTTGTCCCTCACCCCTCTGTCCTCCTCCTTTCTGCTCCAGCCACACTGGCCACCCTGCTGTTCCCCAGGTAACCCAACTACATTCCCACCACACAGCCTTTGTACTTACTGATCCCTTTGCCAGGAATGCCCTCCCACCAGATACCTTCCTGGGTTGCCTCATCACTTTGCTTGTTCTCTGGGCTCAAACGTCACCTCCTCCGAGAAGTCCTCTCGGATTATCTGACCTCAAATAGTCACCTCTGGTCATTCCTTGCCTTTTTCCCTTTTTCATTTTGCTTCACCATCTGACAGAATAGATATTTATTGTTCATCTCTTTATTGCCTCTTTCTTCCACTAGTCCAGACAGGGATGTACGGTTCTGTTTACTGTTGTATCCCCAGCGCCTAGGATGGGCCTGGCCCTTAATCGGATGAATGAATGAATGGCAGTTAGGGAGTCAGGTTTCCAGCTCTGACTCCGCCCAGTCTTGCTGTGTGGCCTCAGGCTCCTCTCTTTCTGGGCCTCATCATCCCAACCCGTACAATTCAGAGACAAAGGACCTATCAGCCTGGCCATGTGTGTCCAGGGCAGGCCTCTGGGGTAGATGTTTCACCTGCTGCTCGCTGCGCACCACCCTCCTGCAGGCCCAGCCCTTACCTTCTGCAGCCACTGTGTGTTGTTCTCTAGCATTTTTTCCAGCTGTCGTACCCGCTGGGTCGGCCAGTCCCCTAGGTTCAGTGCGGCTGCCGGGGAGTCCCTCTGGAGGCTGTTGGAGCCCCCGAAGGCCTCGGGCTCGGGCGGGCAGGGCTCAGGCTCGGGCAGCACGAAGGTGTAGCTGCACTGGCCATGCTGGACTCGGTGTGCCCGGCGGCGCCCGCCGGCCTCCTGCCCCCTCCGCTGGGCCACAGTCATGGTGGCCACGATGAGGAGGAGGCCACTCAGCAGCATGGCTGGCCGAGAAGGCATCCAGAGATGTGGTGGCGAGGGGTGTCAGGTCAGAGCCCAGGGGCCGTGCCTGTCCACCGCCTGTCTCCCTGCCCAGTTTGCACCCACCGTGGCCAACAGTGGCCAGTCCCGCCTGCACAGCCGCTGCAGCTGCGAAGCCCTGTTTGGCCAGAGCTCCGTCCAGGCGGCTATTTGTACTTGCTCCGAGTACCACAGCTGCTCTGCTTCCTCCCACCGCCTCAGGCTCCCGCCCCAGACACCCCTCACCTCCCTTCCTCCCCCTTCCCTTCCTGCCTCCTCACTCTTGTCCGCACTGGCTTGCCTGCCTCGCCTCTGAGTCCTTGGATTATCCAGGGGAGGCCTGGCCTCCCTGCCTGAGCGGAGGAAAGAAAACAACGCGCACACACAAACCCCCAAGCTGCCCGCTTTGGAAAACCAAAGGCAACTGAATTCTCTCTTCCTGTCTCTGTCTCTCTGTGTCTCTCTCTCCAACCTCCCCCCACAGGGAGGCTGGGATCTCAAATTTCAGCCCCCAACGCCTTCCCCTTCTCTCCCCGCTCCACCTTCCCCCCTTTGATTCCCAGTTAGCCTTGGAACACAGTGAAGTGACCTTACAGGGAGCAAAGGGGAGGGGGGCAGATGGGTGAGGCTGGGGAGGAGGCAGCCAGTTCAATCTGTTTCTAGAGACAGAGAACATCCTTGCAAAGACAGGGAAGTGGGCACCCCAGCCAGAGCGGCTCCCATCCTCCTTTCTCCCTCAGGGCCTGGAGGGACATTGGGCCTTAAGGTGGCCCTGGCTCCGTTGCTGTGACAGTAATGAGAGATTGTCCTGTCTTGGGGCAGTAGATTTTGGGGAGAAGAGCTTGGGGTGCAGCAGTGCCCGAGTTAGCGGCAGCTGGCTCTAAATCCTCCTGCCCCAACTACTGGCCCTGAGACCTTGGGTGGGCAACTTCACCTCTCTCGGCTTCCATACCCTGGTGTGTAAGCTGGGTAAATCCCATCTCTTGCATGAGGAATGTATATGAGTTCTGCGCGTGGGGACTGAGGAATTTTTGATTTACTTGTTAACTTGTTTACTGATTCAAATCTTGGCTCCACCACTTATCAGCTGTGTGACTTCGGGCAAGTCGCTTAACCTCTCTGTGCTTCCATTTCCTCTTGGTGAACAGAGAGAAATAATACCATGCACTTCACAGGGTGTGAAAATTGAGTTACAGCAATGCTGGCACAAGGTGAGCGCTAAATAAATGTTTTTGGTTGTTGTTGTCATCAGTGTCACAGTTATTATGTACCTCCCCTCCCCCACCCTGCTGGAATGTAAACACCACAGGGGCAAGGATTTGTCCTTGGGGGACCTGGTTGCTGGACAGAAGGTGCCCAGGAGTTGGTTGGGCCCTTCCTGTGTGGGCTGCCTTCTGGCTTTCTCTGCTTGTTTTCCCAGAGTGGGGGCTTATCCGGCTGTTTGGTATTGTTTTTTTCCCTTTGTCTTCCCAAATCCTGATGGCGTTTTGAAGTGGGCAGGCTGCTTGGGACAGCAGCAAAGTAGGGGCTCATCCGGGGGACTGAGAACATGAAACCAGGTGTGTGAGGCTTTGGCAGGAAAAGGAAAGGCAGCTGGTCATCAGCCACCAGCATTCACGGAGCCCTGCTTGCCCACCTCTGCCTCCACTGTCTCCACTGTAAAGGGGGTCACACCACCTCTGCCCTTGCAAGAAAGAAGGATGTTAATGTGAGTCACGAGTTTATCACAGTGCTGGGCGCAGATGAGCCCAGAGTAAGGGCAGCTATCATTAAGATTGTGTAGGTTGAGCCTCGAGATAATCTCAGTAAGGCCAGCATTATTATCCTCCCCATTTTACACAGGAGAAAACTGAAACCCAGAGAAAGAAAGTGAATTGTCCAAAGTCACACAGCCTGGAGGGGCTTGACCCGGAAGTGGCAAAGGTGGGCAGGCTCAACAGCCATGCTGGCCCCAGAGCCCATCCCACTTCCTCCCACGTACCTGTCAAGGCAGTGTGTGAGGACGCCTGCCCCTCAGCCTCAGCCTCTTCATCTGTGCACTGGAGGGAGCATTAACACCTCCTCGTGGGCACCAATGTGACAAGGGAAGCTCCTGGCACAGGCAATGCATTTAATCCTATTGATTGCAAGAAAGAATGAATGTTAATTTCTACCACTCCCTAGGGCTTAATTAAATAGACATGGGCCCCATAATTGCACTAACACAGAATGCCTCTCTGCACAGAAGAGCAAATAGGATTGTCTGTTCACAGGAGAAATGCAGGTAGAATCAAAAGAACACTTCTGGAAAGCCTGGGAGATGGCCCTGCCAACCTCTGTACCTTCATTGTAGCACCTCCTTCTCACCTCAGGACCTTTGCCTATGCTGCTTTCTCTGTCCAGGACACTGCTGTCCACATGCCCTCACCCCCACCTTTCATCAGTGTTCCAGTTACTGTGGCTGCCAGAAAATGACCCCAACACTTAGTGGTTTAAAACAAAAATAACCATGTAGTATCTCTCAGGGTTTCTGTGGGTCAGGAATTCAGGAGCAGCTCAGCTGGACAGTCTGTTCCATTCTCTCATGAAGTTGAAATCAGATGGTGGCTACAAAGGCACATGCCCTCAGAGAGCCAGGTGGAAGTTACATCGCCTTTTATGACCTAGCCGCGCAAGGCATTCAGTGGAAGCTCTGCCTTATGCTATTGGATGGGGTCTGCCCAGGTTCAAGGCAGGAATGTAGACACCATCCCTTGATGGAAATGCGTTAGTGTAGCCGCCTCTGGGAAATGCTACAGGCCGGAGAACTGATACATGATTACACGGCCCCCTCAGCCCTGTTCAAACCAGACCCGCCCCTCTTGGAGCCCTACCCCTTTACCTTAACCCTCCTCAAGGTGCTCAGAGGTTAATGACTTGTGTAATTACTTATCTCCCTCTGTTCCCAGCATTTGATATACAGCATGTTCTCAGTAAATAATATCTGTCAGATGAATGAATGAGTGAGTGAGTGAGTGAGTGAATGCTTGAGCCAGGCTCCCTCTGTCGGACTGACGAGGGGCAGGAGGTGGGATGCCGTGGAGCTGCCATGGGGCTGTGGCACCAGGGCAAGTCCCAGCTGGCACAACGCTGGGAGGCCTCGGGCAGATCACCATTTGGGGCCAAAGCTACCTCCTCCTCAGTTGGAGGGCGGAGGGCTTAAACAGGCTCCACCAGGTCTCCTGAGATCTCGCAGAGGAGAGCTCTAGGGAAAGTTTACAAACTGTCAGGCTGCTGAGAATCTTTGAACACAGGACCTCAGGACCAGTGTCGGAGGTAGTCTGGGCATAGGTCTAGCCAGGAGACGGAGGTTTTACAAAGTGGCCTCTTGGCATTCTGGGAAATGGGAACCAGCCAGTCCCACGAGAAGCAGCAAGTACCCAGGTGGCAGCAGGCAGGGGGAGCTGGTGCCTAGGCCCAGAGAGGAAACTGGAAAGATGCCATCTGGGGTCGGTTAGCGAGCTCAGGGAGCCTAGAGGCAACATTGAACTTTGGACCTGAAGGGTCTTTGGTAACCAGCGTGCTCTGTGCTGTGGACTCCTGGCCCCGAATTCCCTCCTGAGCACCAGACCCAGTCACCTTCTGGACGTGACCTCCTAGGTCTCAAACGGAACTCCTCATTTTCTCCTCCCCTACTCCACTCCAAGTGAACTTCTTCTGGATTATTCCATCCCTGGGAATTGCCCCACCTTGACCAGGCACCTGGACCAGAAACCTGGAAGCAGGGCCAGCCAGCTTCATGGGTGTGTGACCTCTGTAGTCATACAGGGCCCCACGCTTAGAAGGGTCCCACACTTGGTTTAATGCTCTGCTGTCACCATCTTTAGATTCTTAATAAGTTCTGAACAAAGGGTCCAGCCCTTTCGTTCTGCACTGGGCCCCTCAAATTATGTAGCCGGTCCTGCCAGGGAGACACAAGGCCCCACCACCCCCCTAACCCCACCTGCCATCCAATCAGACCTGTTCTGCCAACATGATCCCTTAAATATTTCTCCCTTCTGCCCCTCTTCACTGTTCTGGGCATACTGGAGCCAGCCTGTCTGGGTTGTAATTCTGGCTTTCCCATCTCCCAAATGTATGGTCTCGGCCAATTTGCTTAACCTGTTTGTATCTCAGTTTTCTCTTCTGTCAAATGGGGTTGATACTAGCAATCACCTGGTAGGGCTGTTAAAAGGATTAAAAAGCTTATCCCTGTAAAGGCTTAACACAGAGTCTGGCACATACAGTCTGGCTCAATAAATGGCAGTGCGATGATGTCATCATTCCCCCCACTGTCACTCTTTTAGCCCAGTGTCTTCATCCCTTGCCAAAGGGAGAATAACAGCCTCAGAACTGAACTCCTGTTAATCCACCTTTGATGCTACAGTCAGTGATCTTTCTAAGACACAAATCCAGCTCTTGACTCCTTTGCTTAAGACCCTTCAGTTTTAAACTCCAAATTCTTTACATGGTTTATAAATCTCTGCAGGATCTGGCCTCCAGCCTCACCGCTCTTATCCTAGGACTTGGTACCTTGTGATGAAGAATTGGTTTTAATTTCCAACACTCTGTCTGCTATCTTTGGCCTCAGTTCCTTAGTTTTTGTAGTCACTCTGCTTGGACAATCCTCCTCACATTTATTCACTGGCTTCCTTCTACCTGTCTTCTGGGTCTTATCTCAGGCATCACCTTCTCTGGGAAGCCTTCCCCGTCAGCCTCCCTCCTTTGGTGGAAATAGGCCCCCTTCCTCTGGGACCCCGGGGCCCCCTGCCTGTGCTTCCCCATCAAAGCTCTCACCCTGTATTATAAAGCCTTGTTTGTATGCCTTTATCCCCCCTCTGGTTTGAAAACTCTTTCAGGGCATCAGCCACACTTTCCATTTCTGTGTCTGTTGCCTCTCCTAAGGTCAACTTCATAGTAAGTTCTAAAGAGTGTTGAATGAATAGTCTCCACTTTGGTGTGGGGACTGGAGCTGCAGTCCCAAGGTGGAGACTAAGGAAATCACCCTTTCCAGGGCAAGGGAAGCAGGAAGTTTCTGTTTGGGGTATTTCAAGTGTCTTGCCTCCAAATACTTAAAACAACCCCTCTACCCCTAGTTTATTTTCCCTTTGCTGGCCTGCTGTTGCCGTGGAGCCAGAATGTGGAGAAAATATTCATATCCTTCTAGAGACTTTGGCTTTTGCTCAAATGTCTTGTGCAAAAAGAGAACTTATTGGCCGATGTAACTGAAAAGTGTAGGGGTATCTGGCTTCAGGCATAGCCTGGATCCAGGTGCTCAGGTGATATTAGGAATTCTTTTTTACCCCTTTTTCTCTAGCTCTAAGCTCTTGTTTTCCTGTTAGTTTATCGCCAGACAGTTCTCACCACCATCACCTCTACCATTGATGAGGGCAGCTCTAATCTATCAACTTAGCCACCCCCCCAGAAATGGAGTACCCCTTTCCTGACAACTCTTGGGAAAGTTCTGGCTTGGGTCACATGGGCATTCCTGAAC